CCGCCCCCCACCCCCCCCATAACCCTCCCCGATGCCCCTTCCCCGTACTCGTTCCAACTCGCCTCTTTCTGCCTCTCCTCGAGGGCGTGCCAACACTTTTCGGGCTCGTCGGGGACCGCAAGGCCTTCTTCTTCGCCGTCGTCCTCGTGCTTGCCCCGTTGCCAACTTTTTGGGGGCAGCAGTTAGGTGTCAGCGAGGCCGAAAGAGAAAGAAGGTTGTCTCACGACCTTGCCAACTGCTGTTTGGGTGCAGCAGCTAGCTTTCAGCTATATAGGCCGAAAGGTTAAGAAAGTTGCCTCACGACCTAGCCTGGTTTGGGTGCGGCAGCTAGCTTGGTCAGATAGGCCGAAAGTGAAAGGGAGGTTGACTCCAGACCTTGTATCTTTAACGAGTGGCAGACAAGAGGGACCCCGCGAGTCATGTCCATCATAACCATCATATATTCCGCGTACCCCCCACCCCCGAGTGTTGATGTGAGAGACTGGTCCGGTGAGAACCCGGCGTGCTCAGTCCCAGCTTTGTAGGGATGCAAGGTCAATGGTCTATCGACTACGACATGCACAGCAGTGAGTACCCCCCCTCCACCCCCGGAGGCCCCGTAGATCACGACTTTGCCGAGTACCCCCAAACACCAACCTGATGCTGATGCTGCCGTTGTCGTCGGCGAAAGGGGTGGGACTCCAGCGGCGGCGGGGACGCGTGGAGGGGCGCGAGCCGGCACGACGTTTCGACGCATCTCTCCCAGGTGCGCGGCGAAGCGATTTCGCCGCAGCTCTCGGCAGACGTGCTTCACCCAGCCGCTGGAATCGGCGGCGCGGCTGGTGTCGCTCTGTGAGCTCGGGTCGGTGTTGTCTGCGGCATCGTGTGGGTGGTGGCGGTGGTTGTTCCCGTTGGACTTGCCCCCGTCTGTGATAACTACTCGGCCGTGCTCGAGTAGGATGGCTGCTTCGTGGTCGATGCCGATGGTACGTGCGGCGTGTTGCGCTTCGAGGAAGTCCAGGCGGGCCTTGTCTCGCGCCGCTTGTTCGGCGGCCATGAGGCTGCCAGGGGAGAGGGGCAGGGGGGAAATATCGTGACGTTCGGTGCTTGCAACAGCGGAATGTAGGTAGAAACCCCCCCACGCATGTTGCTAGGTTGACACGAGGCAAGAACGACACCGCGTTTTTCTAATTAAGTGGATGGTCGGCCACAGGCAGAGAGGCGAATCGCGAACATTGGCCGTTGGTGCCTTCACACTCATAGGGTGGTGATTTTGCACTTTGTAGGTGATGAGTAACCCTGAGGGTTGTTGTTGTTGTTGTTGTCTTCACATTGAAAACCGTTCCGATCTCTCTCTACCCAGTACCTTCGTATGTCCGTACTGATCCATAAACGTACGAGTCTTGCATTCTATTACTGCTGTGGATGTATATAGTCTACAGACTATTCGCGACATGAAATCAAAGTGTTCCTACATACCTCTACGCACTTTCTCATAGCTTCTTCTTCCGCTCGCATCGCGTCGTTCTCGTACTCGCGTTCCTGCTCGTCCTTAAATCTCGCCATGCTCTTGCCGTACAGCCGGAGAACGAGCTGTTCTGCGGTGACGCCAGCCTCGTTTGGGATTGTCCAGTTCGGGCGTAGCGACAGTATCGCTTTGACCGCTCGATACCGTTTCCACTTGAGAGCAATATGGAGGGCGGTGTCTCCAAAGTGTCGGTGCATCCACTGGGTCCATGCATAGCCTCCATAGTCAATCTCCACCTTTGATTGATTTGGATGACGGGACGCAGGTTGTGTTCGACATGTCACAACGACAACAGCAGGTCGCCGAGTAAGACTGTGTCGGATCATGATTTCATTTTCGACGCAACGCGTAGGAACAGCATAGTCTACACGTGTAAGTAGATTGCGCGTCGGGACGACTGCTGTAAGAGGGTCTACCTGAGGTTGCACCTTGTATCTCTCGAAGAACAAAGCCCAAAGTTGACGGTGCCAGCACTCCATGCTGAAATGGTTTCCCCAGCCAAGACGACGAAAATAAACCCAGCACGGAAAACAACATGCACAACGCAAGGTCCTCTTCGAACCCAGCGACATCCCGCAGTCTGCATCACCGGAGACACCGGAGATCTACAGCTGCTGTTAGTTGTAGTGCTGTTGTAGCATACGGACCTGAGTGTTTAGGTCGACGAAAGCCAGCCCAGTCGGGCGCCTGAAAGCCCGAATGACGCGCCAGGGATCATCTTCATCTATCCCTCGAATGACTTCGTAGCCCCAGGTTCGTGTTTTGCGGGTCCACAGGGAGTGCATTTCTCTTTTCTTGGTTTAGGATCCACCGTCCAGGTCGTGAACTACAGCGCGTCGTCGGACTCTCGTCCACGAAGTAAATACAACACGTTCAAGCAGCAGGGTGTTGCGATCATCTCGTACGAGAGGAGAGGCATGTCGAAACGTGCGTCTGCATACTTGCGTCTACGCTCGGCGAGCGCCTGTCCACCGCCGTGCAGCAATGTGCATGGCACGGTTTTACTCAGCAGAACGCACACCGATGGTACGCAGACGTTACATTCACAATACACGCCGCACCGGTTGTCGTTTAGGGGGGGGGTTGAATCCGCGGAACCCCTTACGATATTTGAACTGGGTAGCAGCAGTGGTACGTGTTCGCTGTCTCACCCCAGCGCGGTTGTGAGGCTGTGGGGAGCAATAGCACACGAATACAGGGAGATATACACCGAGCGTAAGATGGAGGAGCAGCCCAAGCGAGGGCGCGGCCGCCCGCCCAAGAAGTCGGGCACAAAGGCTCAGCAGAAAAAGCAACAGCAGCAGGGAGAGGCCGCAGAAGTGATGGACGTTGAACAGCAGCAGACAGGCGACGGAGCAGCACGACGGCGCGCAGCAGCAACGAGCGCGCCGCCCGCCGGAGGCGGAGGGTCTTGTTCTGCAGCGGGCGGTGAGACGGAGCAGCCGAAGAAACGGGGTCGACCTCGTTTGTCGCAGCCACCCAGCAACGAGAGGTGCATCTATGTACTGCTGTACAGCAGCACACGACAAGCATCCAGTGTCGTCGCATTGTTTTAGATCTCATGCGAACCTGGCGGGTGTGGTTGCCGTTGCGCTTGGTTGAGAGCCATCCTTCCCGGATGCCCGCTTTCTCTCTCTCTCTCTCTCTCTGCTCTTTCTCTGTGCCCGTAAGTAGGTGGCTGCGCTCCATGTTGTGCAGCCGCTGTTGTGATAGTTTCCAAGTGTGCCTATCCCCTGTGCGGCGGCATGTATGTTGAGATCCTCCCCTGCCCACCAGGAGCAGCACGACGGCTTGCAGATATGATCGGTGAGAGCAGCACGGCCACAGAAGAGAAGCTCACGGGCGTGTAAGAGATGGTGCCACAGACCCCCGTCTCGTATCGCAGTTGTTTGTACTCCGACCGCACCCTTAGGCTCACGTCGACGCCAGCGTTTTGTTCAGCCGTACATAAGCTGCAACGCATGTACAGCACTAGACTAAATAATACCAGCTGCAAGGTACATCACGAAAGGCTAGTCTATGTCAACCATCGCAACGATCTCTACAGACGACATAGGGACGGCTGGTGTGGGTGCTATCCCAGCAGGTACGCTCCGTTTCGACCCCGGAGCTGAACACGAACTGGCGCGCGACTTAGGCTTCAGAGCACGAGTCTCAATCCGTTGAGACTAAAACGGGGACGTAGGAAGTGCATCCCCGGGTCCACGGGAGCCAAACAGAAGCATGAGCCTTGTACATCGTGCGAGCTTCGTCTTGATTTAGTAGGGGTTACGGTGTGGACTGGGGGGTAGGGTTAGGGTTGGGGTTACGAAACCCCCTCTCTATTTCACAGATGAATAATAACATGCTCGCGAAGTCGGTCCTGCCCCTGGGAGAGAGCCCTTCTCTGGTGGCCAAGGGATGATTTTTTTATTTATTTCGTTTTCTTGTATCTATGTAGCAAGCAATATGGAGAGTCGAAGGGGCGATTTTGAAGAGGAACAGCGTCAATCCTGCTATGTATATTATGTTGTGCATTGCGGGTAGTAGCTCATTACGGTGCGACGGGTGTCGTTAGTCTCAAGTCGGAGTTTTACACGTGTTTGTGATCGTCTGTTCACTTGTGTATCTTTTGCAATCAAGAGACATGAGATGGATTTTTTAGAAAAGAAAAAGAAAAGGAAAACAAAAATGCAGGGAGCGGAGATGAGATAGAACAATCAGAAAACACGTTTAATCGAAGTACATCCAGGCACACCAAACTTCGAAGTGCGTGAGTCTGGTGGTCCTGCCTCGTCCGCGAATCGATCAGATTTATCGCCGTGAAATGAGCGTACTTCGAGCTCTGTCAGGTAGAGCAGCAGTAGGACAAGCTTAGCGCCCCAAGCCACACAAACAAAGCTTACGCCACCAACACCGCTACTCTCTCAGGCTGACTCGGCCACGGATTGCAAGTGTTCACAGTACCCTGGACTTAAGGTTTTGCAGCAGCGTCTCCCCCTTGCTCGAGGTTAGACTACGGCATGCCGTTTATGAGTACCCCCCCCCCCCCCCCCCCCCCCCCCCGGGGTTTCCCCCCCAATTGGGGTTTGCCCGGCGGGGGCAGCGGCTCTTTAAAAAACCT